CAACACACAACAACAGCAAAAAAGCAACAACAACAACAAAACCCAACCCCAAAACAACAACAACAGAAAAAAATGAATAAATTTGCCCGTTATCCTAAAATGCTGATTTCTTTGATTTCATTATTTTGACTAGCGCGTGATTACACCACACTGCCTCACATTAAGCTTACCTTGGCGTTAGCGCGGGGAAAGAAGCAGCCTAAAAAGAAGACTCCCGTAAGAGGCCCGGCAAAGGCTGCCAACAACCCGCCAGCGATCTGAGGAGAAACGATACGCCTTATTTTTTTTGTAAGTGTTTTACGGCACTCGTAACTGCATAAGGTCATATGAGCGCGCTGTACACATTAAACATTTTCAATTGGTAGGAAATTTTGAATTTTGCCCGGATGGGGGGCCGATGCCTACTCTTATCGATTTTAGACCACAAAGGGATTTTTAAAGTGCGCAACTTGCACACGGCACGGGACCTCCGAGATTTTTCGTCCTTGTACGAGAAGGCTAGGTGTAGAGCTTTAATACCAGAAGATCAGGGGTGTGGCAGAAAGACAGCAATAAGAAGGAGCCAAGGAGTAGCAGTCTTCATAGCAAAGAGACAAAGTGATACGTTTAGACAGTGGACCACCAGGGTATTATTTGGCCGCTTTTAAGGACAAGCGGGCTAACCCAGATTTCGGGGGTTTCCAGAAATCTTGACCTACATCAAAAGTGGGCGTTGCCCTTCCTAAAGGAGAAGTTTGATTTCTTTGGTGCGTATATTATTTGTTTGGGTAAAGAGAAAACTCTCATTGTCCTTTAAAAGAAACTAGACAAGGGTCCAAAAACGTTACCTTCGATTTTCACAAAACAGCATTTTTTGGATAGCCCCTTTGAGCTTAAAAGCGACCATTTCAGTTCTTCATATGGTATGGGTTTATCGCACCTTACAGCACCGTGAAGTTACGATGTTTCTTTCTTTACATACCATACCATACCTTACCATACCAGACACACATAATATACACACACACACACAGGCATAGACAAAATATGATACACACAGGTACACCTGTAGGCTGACACTGATAGTTGCGCACACACATACAAACACACAGACGCACACGTAGAATCTATACACACGTGCCCTTTATTTGCCTCTCTTCTCATCTTCTCTCTCACACACACACACACACACACACACACACACACACATACACACACACACACACATACACACACACACA